GCTTGCCACAGTAGTCAAGAAATCATACTTTCATCGCATAAACACAAATGTTTTCACACATTTTTGTTTTTAAAAAAGTGTCAATACCGTTCCTAGACTTCCTAAACTAAGTTGTGTCAGAGTCTTTCCGGCGTCGGCATACCGCTGACATTAGCCGTGAGAAGACTTTGGGCTCGAGATTGTTTGGACACTAGAAGTATTTTTTATCTAAAATTTTAACAATAACAGGCGCGCAAAGCACAATGGTGCAATCTGGGCTTTTAATAGGACCCCACTATTAAATATGGTGCAAGTAATGATATTAGTAAAATACCTTTGGGCTTGAGAGATCCCAGTAAAAATTGGTTGCATCTCACACATCTCACACATCTCACCACGGACGCTCTGCTGCCATTCAAACCTTGGAAATAATATAGCATAAAATAATGCAAGCATAAATTATTAAACTTTATTCATTCAATGCTGCTATATAGAAGGTCGATTAATCTTGAAAAAAAAATACTTCGTTGTCGTCTTTACAAATGAATAACGCTAATGGGATTGAATTTATATATTACCCATTGATTTTTTATTAGCTTTTAAAGAGGCCCACGTAAATCTGAGGATCCCACATGCGAAAAATCGACATCTTTGATCTTTGAACCAATCAGAAAGCAGCGAGAGACGTTTGCAAAACAAAGCACACAATTGCAAAGGCACGTGGGTATTTTTAAAAGTTTCATAATGGCAAAACACCTACAAACCTTGTCTTTCCTGGAGCGCCTCATATCTCATCAGCACTTTTTGCGAGTTTGAGAAAATGCAGGGTATACTTTACGTGTATTATTAGATGTGGAAAACAATAAATTAATTATAAATAGCATAAAAAGCTAAAAATATTACCAATATAGACGTACGGGTTCCTTCAGCGTCAAATCATCAGCATAATATTTCAGTACTGTTGGTAACGTTACCTTACATTTAGGGGCACGTTACATATAGGGGCACATTACATATAGGGGCGAGTGGGAGGGGAGGGGTGGTATATGACGTTTGCTTCATCTTGAATGCAGATTGGATAAAAGCAATAACACTGTTCTATGATACTGCTATTGTAGTCTAGTTTTAACCATGTCTTCCGAAATTTGATGTTATTTTGAAATTTTCTCAGCGAAATTGAAAATCATATTGTTCAATACGCAAAGTGCTTGATATCCGTATTTAATAGTAAGCAACGGAAGAAAAGTATTAGGCTTCATATTTATTGTTGTAATTTAAAGACATTATTGTTTAAATTAAATTTTATCAAAATGAGTGAAGTTTAATAATGTAATGCATTATTTTATATTGACCCGTTTAGACATTCTTATTTACCAGAGAAAACGCAATTAATCCGAGAGTTTCTGAAAAAAAAGAGTTCAAAATCTGTCACTATAGCAGAACTGTCTTTGAATCACCATTGTTACTGAGGGTGATCGCTGTTAAACGGTGCAACTGTACATACCAAATAGTGCTATTTCGTTGTAGTAAGTCGTGCATGCAGTGACTTAATCATCCCAAACACAAACATGACAAACACCATAGTTCAATTGATGGTTGAGAGATGAATGTCAAGAATGATAATAAAATAACGACTGAACTTCGTGGTTTTAATGGTTGTAAAATAAAGACACAAGACGCATTTCTAGTAAATCATAATAAAGACACAGCACGCATTTCCAGTGAATTAGGATTCAAATTAAATTAAGTTGATACAAATAATGAAGCACTCAATACCGTCTTGTCCACTTTTAGTACAAATTAGTTATTATTTATCGGACACTATTTAACGAATTTCACAAAATAGTACAAAGAGGTTAATTAAAACTCTAACAGCAAAGATAGAAAAGTCAGAAAGTGTTGCACACATTTAATGTTTGTACTCTAACATTTTACAGTCACTAGGGTATTTTTAATTATATTACCTTACATTTAGGGGCATATTACATATAGGGGCACATTACATATAGGGGCGAAGGGGAGGGGTGGTGATGGTTACGTTACCTTACATATAGGGGCACATTACATATAGGGGCGAAGGGGAGGGGAGGKGTGGTGATGATTACGTTACCTTACATRTACAACAACAACAACAAACAAATTTTACATATAGGGGCATGTTACCTATAGGGGTTAACCCTTTTACCGCCGAATAATTGTGGTTAAATTTGACTGTTTTTAAGGCAGAATGATTTAAAAATGATTTCGGGACTAATCTTAAGGTTGTCAAGGAAACAGCTGCTGTTCGTGATAACTGAAGGCTTACTTTTGCAAGGGATGCCTGTAAGATTTTTGCTCGTGGCCTTGACTAGCAATCAGCTCGTTCAAAACACAGGAAAAATCGGTTTTTAGGTGTTTTTGAAGTCAAGTTCTCGCACAAGAGCCCCTAGACTTGCATCATAAAGCTTGACTATTGTGGCAGAAGCGATCTTCTGGAAGAAATCAGAAGTGGGAAGCGATTTTACGAAGAAAATGGCGAGCAACCGTTGATTTGTGTAAAATGGCGCCATTTAAGTGAAGTCGTCTCCCTGGCTGTCTTGTGCTTGACTTCGCAACCTACCGTGTATATTTTTGCATGTTTTGGCTTCTAAAAAGAGGAATCTACTTGAAATTTTCCTGGTAGGAGCGAATGACTCGACACTTAAAGAAAATTTTAAAATGGAAGGTGCGGGGTACTTTCTGTCCAAAAAATTCACCGTTACCCAGAATTCTTTGCAAGCGAAGTTCAAGGAAACACTTGTCTCATGGAATGGACCCTAAAGAAAGAGCTCTTTCTCGGCTTGTTCAATGAAACTGGTTACAAAAGACACATCAATGCAAAGTAGAAGGGCTGAACTTTCTTTCAAATGTTGTATTTTGGCATGATTGAGGGATTTTTTGCAGTAAAATTGAAAATATATTTAGCCTTTTTCTAGTGCTCTTGTCTAACGTCGAAAAGCGTGCAGCCAGATTTCGCCCTCAATTAAGGGACCACATTCACCACAAAGAAACCCTATGGTGCTTACTTTATGAATTAGCAGCTGTATAATTTCACGGACAACCCAACCAAAACATAATTAGTTCATTTGCTATGCAATTAATAGAATAATCTTTTTTTAAAGAGAGGCATACGTCGACGTCGACAAATGTCGACAATGGCGGTGAAATGGTTAAGGGGATGGAGGGTGATGATGGTTACGTTACCTTAAATATAGGGGCATGTTACGTATAGGGGCACGTGACCTATAGGGGCGAGAGGAAGGGAGGGTAGGTCAATACACCACGTTACATTTAGGGGCGAGGGGGAATGTAGCGAAGGGTTACGTTCCGTTCCTTTGATATTTTAATGTATTTGAGTCAGGACCACCACCATCTTGAGCCCGTTGAGACCGTTGTTGACGACAAGGAGAAGAATGGCAGGAAAAGGCACAGTTTATTCGTTAATTATTTATTGATATTATAAGGTATTTGAAGTAGAAGAGCGCACCACCATCTGGAGCCCGTTGTTGACGACAAGGAGAAGAATGCCAGGAAAAGGCACAGTTCATTCGTTGATTATTTATTGTTATTATAGATATTATAATGTATTTGAAGTAGAAGATATCGCACCACCATCTGGAGCCCGTTGACGACAAGGAGAATTAAGAATGCCAGGAAACGAAAAGGCACAGTTCATTCGTTGATTATTTACTTATATTATAAGGTATTTGAAGAAGACGAGAGCGCACCACCATCTGGAGCCCGTTGAGGACAAGGAGGAGACTATGTCAGGAAAAGGTGCAGTTAGTGTAGCACTATCTGTAGATCTTTGATGACATGTAGAAGAGTGGCCCCTTCTATTAACTATGATGGTACCAACGGGGATATACCTAATTGCAAGTACGTTGTCAGGTTCCAGAATGCTACATCATCAAAGCTACGACCGAAAGGGAGCATGGGAAAGCAAATTCTATGAGTCTTTCAATGCCAAAAGACTGCACTGAATAAAGTGACCTTTTCTACGAGTAATGGTAAAATTTAATATGTTTAACAAAATATGATTCGAATTCCTAAGTAAAAAATGTCCTTCGGTGTTAGCTACGATGATATTACCTTTGTACGACCCGACAATTAGTTGTGAATTTTCGAATCTTTATGGAGTTCAAGCGAACCCTCGAAGATTCAAGCTTCCCTATTTTAGGTGTCAGTTTGACACCAAGAAGAGTTCAGTAGCACCACGAAAGAGTCAAACGATTCTTCAGATGTAACATTTTGCTCTTTGATTCCTTTTTCAATTTGATCGATTGATAAATCTTTTAATGGAAAGTCGGGGAAAAACAGTCTTGCATAGCATACAAGAACTTATTTAATCCCTTGATGATGATGACTTTTTTACTTAGTTTTATCTCGCAATTAAAAAAGCGTCAAAACCGAATCACCATTATTATATGCTGNCAACCATCGGACATTCCTTTTATGGTGATATTTGGACACCAATCTCGTACCCAGAGCCCGCACTTTTGCCATCCAGCGGATGTCAATGCGTGAGAGATTCTTGGGGTTTTTCAAGTCGCTAGCGCGCTTGCCACAGTAGTCAAGAAATCATACTTTCATCGCATAAACACAAATGTTTTCACACATTTTTGTTTTTAACAAGGTGTCAATACCGTTCCTTAGTCTATCCTAAACTAAGTTGTGTCAGGTGCTAAACCGTATTCCTTTTTATCATTTTAATGCTCTAAAAGCAGAAAACAAAATTTGCATAATTTGCGACGGAAAAGCGTCGCAAATCCAGTCGATTCCTCCAGAGTCTTTCCGGCGTCAGCATACCACTGAGATTAGCCGTGAAGACTCTGGGCTCGAGATTGTTTGGACACTAGAAGTATTTTTTATCTAAAATCTTAACAATAACAGGCGCGCAAAAAATAATGGTGCAAACTGGGCCTTTAATAGAACCCCACTATTAAATATGGTGCAAGTAATGATATTAGTAAAATACCTTGAGAGATCCCAGTAAAAATTGGTTGCATCTCACACAGCAATATCACCACGGACGCTCTGCTGCCATTCAAACCTTGGACATGATATAGCATAAAGTAATCATGATAAGCATAAATTATTAAACCGTATTTCAATGCTGCTATATAGAAGGTCGATTGATCTTGAAAAAAAATACGAATTTGATATATGCAAAGGACTTCGTTGTCGTCTTTACAAATGAATAACGCTAATGGGATTGAATTTATATATTACCCATTGATTTTTTATTAGCTTTTAAAAAGGCCCACGTGAATCTGAGGATCCCACATGCGAAAAATCGACATCTTTAATCTTTGAACCAATCAGAAAGCAGCGAGAGACCTTTGCAAAACAAAGCACACGATTGCAAAGGCACGTGGGTATTTTTAAAAGCTTCATAATCATGGCAAAACACCTACAAACCTTGTCTTTCCTGGAGCGCCTCATATCTCATCAGCACTTTTTGCGAGTTTGTTTGAGAAAATGCAGGGTATACTTTGGGGTGACCTACGTAGCACGTAGTTGATGTGATATATTCATAAAATGTATTGTATTCCATTGTTTCTCGTTCTATTGTATTATGTGTTTTGTATTATATCTTTATGAATATATTACATCAACTGAGTGCTACGTAGATTCTCCCGGTATACCATTATTAGATGTGGAAAACAATAATAAGTTATGAGTAAATATAAATTAATTATAAATAGCATAAAAAGCTAAAAATATTACCAATATAGACGTACGGGTTCCTTCAGCGTCCAATCATCAGCATAATATTTGGCTGTATGACCTATATTTGGAATATTCTACGCAAGGGATTAGTAAGACTGCTTGATTTAATTAATCTTAACATTATATCAAAGTACACAATTATGTCCCACAGCACAAGGTATGCGAAGGTCTGATCACTAGATGGTACCATAGTTAATAGAGTGGTCCCCTCTATTAACTATGATGGTATCACACCTAATTGCAAGTACGTTGTCAGGGTCCAGAAGGCTACATCATCAAAGCTAAGACCGAAAGGGAGCATGGGAAAGCAAATTCTAAGAGTCTTTCAATGCTAAAAGACTGGACTGAATAAAGTGACCTTTTCGACGAGTAATGGTAAAAGTTTTAATTTTTTTTTTACTTAGGATAAAATATGTTTAACAAAATATGATTCGAATTCCTAAGTAAAAAAATCTCCCTCGGTGTTAGCTACAATGATATTACCTTTTTCCGACACGACAATTTGGTGTGAATTTTCGAATCTTTATGGAGTTCAAGCGAACCCTCGAAGATTCAAGCTCCCCTTTTTAGGTGTCAGTTTGACACCAAGAAGAGTTCAATAGCACCACGAAAGAGTCGCTACAACCGCTCTAAGAGGCCAATTTTATCGATTGATAAATCTTTTAGTGGAAAGTCGGGGAAAAACAGTCTTGCATAGCATACAAGAATTTATTTAATCCCCTGATGAGTGACCACTTTTTTTTACTTAGTTTTATTTCGCAACTAAAAAAAGGATCAAAACTGAATCAACATTATTATATACNCCGAATGGTCGTGGAGGAATAGAAGACCCTTGAGGTGGAGCCTTCTCTGTCTTGAATGAAATAGTGGCCAATGAAGGCTTCAGGGGCCTAAAATGTATAAAAATTGAAATTGAATTTAATCAGCTTTGTCATTAAATCTCACTATGCATACAAAAAAGAAATGTGCCAATCAGCATAATGTGAAACACTAAAACTAGAACACATTATCATAGTAATAAGAACTTTTCATTCAAATTCAATTTATAAGACATTAAGATTTCCACATGTATAGTGGCTATACATTAAAGCAGGGGTGGATCCACCACGCTATAATGGGGATGGCTAGATAAACCATGAAATTCTTTATAAACCCCAAAAGGGCGGTGGCTAGCGACCCTGATCTCCGAGCCCCGCTGCTTCCACCCTTTTAAAAAGTGAGGGCCATCAAATGTACGAATCGGCAGCCTTTCTATAGCACAACTGTGTGCTTAATTACAAAGATGAATCTGGTAACAGACGAAAACCTTAGAAACAGCCTCAGCATGCGTTACTTACAAGTCATATTGCAAGCAGTTGACTGAATCTGGTTGTGGCAAAGGACCATTGTTGACCATGTTAAAGGATTTGATACAATCTTCTGCAAAGTACTGCCAAGGTTCAAAAGTACGACCATTGTCACGTGATCTCTCAATTATTATCGCTGATGGTTGAGGACCATAAAACTCGAGGATTACATAAAAAATCTTGAGAAAAACAAATGAGAAATATCAATATAAAATAAATATGATGATGTTGATATAAATGATGTCGGTGATCAGTAACATTTTTTATCTTA